TCATATCTTTATGTCTTTTGATCAAAAAAGTTTATCGTCATTATCAATGTCCAATTTTATAGATATATTTATTGGTCTATTGATAGTCTTCAAGTTTTTCATGTTAAATCTCTTAAGTAGATTCTAGGTATATTTACTTTGACTAATAAAAATTTTATCATTAATCCAAATCAAAATATCAATTCACTCATTAAGTTCATTTTAAGTTCTTGACTAATACTCTTAGCAAATAACTCACATAAGTTCTCATTCTTAGAAATAAAAATAATATCACTAATATAAATTTGAAGAATAAGAATATCATCATTAAAATATATAATAAATAATATAGTATTTATCTTATTTTTTAAAAATTATTTTGACTTAAAAAAACTAAGTATCCTATACTAAACTCTAGGGGCTTGTTTTAGCTCGTAAAAAGCATTGGACAACTTGTAAATATGATTCAAATAAAAATTAGTTTTAAATATGAGTAGTTGTTTGATATGAATTTTTTCTGAAATAAAATTATTAAGAAAAGTACTTTTAACATCCATTTAAAATAGTTTAAAATTTTTAAAATAAGCATAGATAAAAAGAATTCTTATTATTCCAAATTTAGTCATATGAGCGAAGGTTTCTTCATGATCTACACCTCCTTTTTAGTTAAAACTTTTAAGCACCAATCTAGTCATGTTTTAAACCATGAAATTTTACTTATCTTATTTATTCTTAAAAATTCATTTAGTATCAATTAGAAGATGATCACAATATCTAGAAACAAACATCTAAACTTTAATTCTCTTAAGTTGATTTAGCTCTTTATGCATTATTGAGACCCATGAGTTATTTTAAAAGCATCATCAATGCATTTAGACTCAAGTTGAGAGAAAAAAAATTATATTTATATATTTTTTTGTAAAGACGAATAAGTTTGAATACCATTTGATGTATATATAATAACTAGCTTCTTAGGACATGCATCTATGTAATTTCATTCTTTCGATAAGGTTTTTTCCAAAATAGAAATATCCAAGTTATTTTGAGAAATAGAATTATCACTTAAATTCAAATTTCTAAGTTCAAAATAATCATCATTAAAATCAATTTTTTTAGTTTAAAAATATTTATAAAAAATAATATAAGCTTTAGAAATAGAAGAGTATCCAAGAAAATATCTTTATCAGATTTAGTATCAAATTATTCTAAGATAACTTAGTCATTCAAAATAAAATATTTACAATCATAAACATTAAAATATGAAATTTTGAGTCTTCCACGACTCATAAGAAATTTTAGATAAATGAGACCTAGTAAGGATCATATTCATGATATAGCAAGTTATGTTAAGAATTTTGACAAAAAATATTTGGTTTAAATTATATTCATTAAGCATGGTCTTACCTATCTCTTGTAAACTTATATTCTTTCTCTCAACAACTATAGTTCGATGTAAGTTTAGTGGAAAAGTTATGATGATACCCATTTGAATCATAAAACTCTAAAAGTATAATTTTTAAATTCATCATCATGATCACTTTGAATAAGTAAAATCATAAAGTATTTTTATTTTAAATTATTTA